CACAATGCACAAAAATTAACTCAAAATGGATTAAAGACTTAAACATATGACCTGAAAACATAAAAATCCTAAAAGAAAACATAGAGGAAAAGTTCTTTGACATTGGCCTTGGCAGTGATTTTTTGGATATGACATCAAAAGCACAAGCAAGAAAAGCAAAAATAAACAAGTAGAACTACATTAAACAAAAAAGCTTCTGCACAGCAAAAGACACAACAAAATTAAAAGGCAATTTAAGGAATGGGAAAAAATATTTGCAAACCTTACATCTGACAAGGTGTTAATATTTAAAATATATAAGGAACTCATATAACTCAACAGCAAAAAATCAAATAACCCGATTAAAAAATGGGCAAAGGACCTGAATAGACATTTTTCCAAAGTAGATATTCAAATGATCAACAGGTACCTGAAAAGGTGGTCAACATCACTAATCATCAGGGAAATGCAAATCAAATGAAAACCATAATGAGATATCACTTCACCCCTGTTAAATGGCTATTATCAAAAAGATAACAGGTAAGTGCAAACATGGATGTGGAAAAGAGGGAACTGTTGGTGGGAATATAAATCGTTGCAGCCATTATGGAAGGTTACTCAAAAAATTAAATACAGAACTACCATATGATCCACCAGTTTCCCTTCTGGGTATATACCCCAAGGAGTTGAAATCACTGTCTGGCTATCTGGAAGAGAGATCTGCCCCTTCGTGTTCACTGCAGCACTATTTACAACAGCCACAACATGAAAACAACCTAAATGTCCACTGAGGAATGAATGGATAAAGAAAACATGGTTAATAAATACATAAAATCCAACCATAAAAAAGAAGGTAATGTTGCTATGTGTGATGACATGGATGAAACGTGAGGCTATTATGTTAAGTGAAATAAGTCAGACAGAGAAAAACAAAAACTGTATAATCTCACTTATATGCAGAATCTAAAATAATCAAACCAATAAAAACAGAGAACATATTGGTGGTTTCTAGGGGTGGGGAAAATGAGTGAGGGTCAAAGAGTACAAATTTCCATTTGTAAAATGAGTAAGTCCTGGGGATGTAATACACAGCATGGTGACTATAGTTAGCTATACTGTAACAAATGTAAAGCGGAAAGCCAATAAGAGAGTGGATCTTAAAAGTTCTCACCACACACACAAATCATACCTATGTGCGGTGACAGATGTGGTAACTAATCTTATCACGGTAATCATTTGGCAATATACACATATATAAAATCATCATGTTGTATTCCTTAAACTTACGCAATTAAAAAAAATTAAGAACTTCAAGACGGCAATAGCAGAGCGTTAAACCAGGTGCAGGGTTGAGCCTGGAGTATCACAACTGAACAGGTCACATACCCATGGAGCTGGCCCTAAGTCCTGGGGGTCCCAAACCTGGCTGGTCATCAGAATCACCTGAGGAACTTAAAAAAATCCCTGAGGTATAATTTACATACCATAAATGTCACCATTTTGAAGTGCAAACTTCAGTAGATTTTTGCATATTCACAAAACTCTATAACCACCACCATTCTCTAACCTCAGAACACTTTATCACCCCCAAGAAAGCTCTGCTCTCATTAACAGTCACTTCCCATTCCCCTACTCTTAACCAACAATCTACCGCCTTTCTCTATGAATTTGCCTACTCTGGACAATTCATATAAATAGAATTATAAACTATATGATTCTTTGCGTCTTCTTCCATTTAACATAATGTTTTAAAGGCTCAGACATGTTGTAGAATGTATCAATATCTCATTCTTTTTAATGGCTGAATAATACAAACATACACACACACACAACATACCACATTTTGTTTATTCATTAAAGAATATTTGGGTTGTGTCCACATTTTGATTATTATGAATAGCGCTGTTAACGAACATTCGTGTATAATTTTTGTGTGAACATATGCTTTTATTTCTCTTGACTATATGCCTAGGAGTGGAATTGCTGGGTCACAGGTTTAACTGTTTCAAAAACTACCACACTGCTTTCTGCAGTAGCCATACCATTTTACATTCCCACCAGCAATGTATGCGGTAGGATGCATGAGCAATGTATGTTTCTCCACATCCTTGCCAACACTTGTAATTGTCCACAGTTCTGACTACAGCCATCACAGTGAGTATGAAGTGGTATCTCATCATGGTTTTATTTTTCATTTCCCTAATGATTAATCATTCGTAAATGATTGATCATTTGTGTATCTTCTCTGGGTAACTACCTGTTCAGATCCTTCGCCCATTTTCAAAATGAGGTTATTTGTCTTTTTGTTGTTACTGAGTTCTAAGAATTCCTTTTATATTCTAGATTCTAGACCCTTCTCAGATGTAATTTGGCAATAATTTTTTTCCCATTCTGTAAGGAAGAACTTTGTAAAACTGTTGATTCCTCAGCTCCAAGCCAGATTTACCAAATCAGTACCTATCAGGTAAAATATAAAAGTTTTTGGGTGTTTCTGATGACCCACCAGGTCTGTGAATGAATAGTCCAGACCTGTCCTTCATAAACTTCAATATGTAAAAAATAAAATCACCTAGAGATCTTAATAAAACGTGGATTCTGAGGGAAATAGAAAAGTATCATTGGAATACCACAGGAATAACTGTTGCAAACATGATCTACTGACAAATGCTAAAATTTGTGGACAAAAGTTTAAGGAGAAATTGGATATTTGCACATTACTAAAGTATTTCCTCCAAAATATTTATTAATTACAAAAGCAAAAATAGTAGCTTCACAGTGAAAGACGTTGGCAGATATCACTAATCAAGGTTAACATGACCAGTAATAAGACATACTGACACCATGTGCCCCCAACACACGAGAGAAAGGCACACCACCTCTGTGATGGTCTCCCCAAAACCAATAACCTTAATCCAACAAGAAAATGTCAGACAAATCCAGCTCGAGGGAAGTTCTACAAAATACCAACTCATACTCTTTAAAAGTGCCAAGGTCAAGAACAAGACAGACTGAGGAACTATCACAGATAGGTGGAGTCCTGGCGATGTAACCACCACATCTAACGTGCTATCCTGTGTTAAATCCTGAACAGAGCAAAGAAACCGGTGAAAAACAGGTGAAATCTGTAGTTTCAGCACTCTGTAGTCAACAGCATTGTACCAGTCGATGCTAACTGCTCAGTTCTGACAACTGTAGCCTGATTAAGTAAGGCGGTAACGTTAGGGAAAGGTGTATGGGAACTTGCAGGACAATTTTTGCAACTCGTCTGTAAGCCTAACATTATTTCAGAATAAGAACTTCTAAAAATGCACAGGCTCTGATTCTGTACGTCTGAGTGGAAGCCTTCCGCCTTTCTAACAAGTTCCCAGGAGAGGCTGATGCTATTGGTCCACAAACCGCATTCTGAGTAGTGAGAGCCTAGATAAGGGGTCCTCAGACTTAACCATGCCTCAGTCTCACCTGGCAGGTTAGTTACGACACAGCGCGCTGGGCCTCACCCCCAGAGTTTTGATTCGCGAAGTCTGGGGTGGGGCCCACGAATTCGCATTTCCAACAGGTTCCCAGATGAGGCAGATGTTGCTGATGAGCTAAGAATGGCATTTATGTTTTTAAAGGGCTGTAAATAATTTAGAAAACAGGAATATGACACAGACTGTATGTGGCCTTCAAATATGTACTGAAAACACATGCTGAGCCCTAGACCCCTGCTACTCAGAATGGAGCTTTTAAAAGACACTAATGCCTAGGTCCCATCCCTGAGACTCTTAGTTAACTGATTTGACACGGGTCCCTGGCATCGACATTTTAAAAGTTACTCCTCTTTAACTCTGATGTGTAACCCGGCAAAGAATGGCTACTTTAGGCTCTCCACCTGCCTCAAAACACCCTGCTCCTCAGTTATCCCAGAGATGAGGAAACAAATGTCAAAGAGCATTTCTGCAATTTGAAACGCATTTCAAACAGTTGAGCTACTCTTTTTGTGAAGGTTAACAAAACCCAAACACAAATCATTATTTCCTCCCTCACCTGTCCCCTCCCAAGCAAGCAGAATGAACACTGGATTATACATCAGTAATAATCACAAAAGATCCCAAACCTCCCCCTAGTACCAAAAAAAAAAAAAAAAAGAAGAAGAAGTAGACGAACGAAGAAGTAGCGGACGAGAAGGAAGGGAAGGTACACGGTAGGGTTGGTAGA